TGATCGAACATTTTATTCACTCGATTCAAAATCATAACATATGAAGTAAAACATGGCAATAGACAAAGGCTTTTCAAAATTCCTATATCATCGCTCATCTTTCAAGTCCCACTATACTATTACTCAACTCATCATAAATTTAAAGGTTTCCATATAAAATTGTGATTAACAAGTCAATGGCCCAAATTAAAAGTTCCTAAGAATGTAGGGGTCCATTTATTAATGAAGTAATATTATCTCCTATTACCTGCGCAAGGATAAGGCTAATTAACAAGAATCTCAATTTACAACTATTTCGTCTTTGCAATGCACCTGTTACAATTTTAAGAGTGCCATTACTTCCTGACTTAACACTTATCACTAATAACGGTCCAGTTCACTCGCTACACACATCACACATATGCATGATATTCAGGTTTCTGCATTAGTCATCTTGCTTAATAATATCACAGACATAATTTTATACTTATAAACCTTCAAGAAGTCAAGCAAGTCAAACAATACACATCACAATCCAAATTTCAATTGAGAGGAATCTTCATAAAATCCCAAAACTTCTATCCTATTTTTCATACATATCAGGCAAGTGGTACCCCTAATACAGTTCATCAAAACACCCGTATGAGGAAACTTCCTCGAGCTTTCCGTTGTCCTAGGTACCTCGGATGTAATTGACTTCACTGATCAGAGGATTAATTAATCATGATATGAACTTTCCAATCAGCGACACATATTACAATCTACAAACAGTCATCAAACATAACTCACCAAACAGACCAAGCTTTTCTAAATCAAGTTCACAATAATGGCATTCAAAGTCCCTAATCGTAATTAAGTTTGCATTCAAGAGACAAGTAAAATTTTACGGCCCGAGACCTAATGCATGAACAACACTGAATGCAAGGCTCTTCAGACAATGACTAATCACATCCACACAAGCAGCAATACATCTATTCGATGAGAACATTTCAAAAATAATAATATCTCATGATGTATTTGAACATTACAAAACAAATATCAAACTTTAAAACATGGAATTTACAACGATGTATTCAAGTTAAGGCCGTATATTATACCTGTTAGATAACAATTCAATATCATCAGGATGTCCATGTTAAATTCAGCTTTTATATCACATAAGTATGATGAAAGATAGCACTAAATCTATGTCAGGTTGCGATTATACTTATTTTAGAGTCATACAGTATCTGCTACATCTTAAACGCTAGACCAGAAAAATTTGTTCAAATGACACAGTAGCACTCTTTTGAAAACAAGATGCATAACGTGACTCCTCATACTAATATAGTCCAATAATCTCCAGAGATATTCAATGTTGATATGTAATCCATGCATAACCGAAGCATAAAAGCATACAATATGAACTTGTTAAAGCAATTTAAAAATAATAATAACAGGCTATTCTTTAATTGCTCTACTCAAGGCTTAAAGTGCACAGCAATGACTTTATGGAGCCGATGTCGAAATGATTATGGACTTGGTTTTGCATTACACATCACAATTTTATGACTAATACGCATTATAGCAATATGCGCCATTTTCCAAATAAAATGCAAGTCGGCTCCTAAGGCGGAAAAGAAATACTTATCACAATGTGTGCTACTTCATTAGTTGTCTCCCTAGTCTGATCCCTAGCATACATACTGTAACATCCCGGTCGTTGACGAGGACGGGGAGTGATCGTCGGTGGAAAAGGGCATGGTGCGAAAGGGAACAAATAAGGAGCGGCTCCTGGCAGGCTTCTAGGGACGGGGGTACATGAATGAATCGAATCAACACCCAAAAGAGAGGGATTCCAGAGACTGTACTGGTATGGGACGGTACAATTGGGAATGGCTTATAAGAATTAATTGGTACTACCTATACAAACAAGATGCATCTGCTTTTCGGTAGCCCGGATCGGAAGAACTCCACAGTTAAGCGTGCTTGACTTGGAGCAATTCTGGGATGGGTGACCTCCTTGGAAGTTTTCCCGGGAGTGTGCGAGTGAGGAAAAAGCACACTGAAAAGTCTCGTGTTAGTGTGTGAGGATAGTCATTGATTCTTAAAGCGGTCGGGCGTTACAAGTGGTATCAGAGCAGGGCCTCTCTTCCAGTACGGTGTGGTTCGAGGACGAACCAGGCAGAAGCTGGTAGGCATGTAACATCCCGGGCGCTGACGAGGGCGGGGAGTGATCGCCGGTGCGAAAGGGCATGGTGCGAAAATGGCACAAACAAGGAGCGGCTCCTGGTAGGCTTCTAGGGACGGGGGTACAAGATGAATCGAATCAACACCCGAAAGAGAGGGATTCCAGAGACTGTGCTGGTATGAGACGGTACAGTTGGGAATGGCTTATAAGAATTAATTAGTACTACCTATACAAACAAGATGCATCTGCTTTTCGGTAGCCCGGATCGGAAGAACTCCACAGTTAAGCGTGCTTGACTTGGAGCAATTCTGGGATGGGTGACCTCCTGGGAAGTTTTCCCGGGAAGTGTGCGAGTGAGGAAAAAGCACACTGAAAAGTCTCGTGTTAGTGTGTGGGGATAGTCATTGATTTTTGAAGCGGTCAGGCGTTACACATACATTAACACATGAACATTGAAGAAGTTCATTTATTCTATTCAAATTAGTTACTAAATCAGCTTTGGCAGTTCAAGACAGAATAACACACAACACTTTAAAAAATTTTAATTAAATAGTTATGAGCAAGTATGTGGGGGTATCCAATCAGAAATAGGAACAGATATAATATAACCAGTCCAAGAAACCAATCTTATCAAAGACGTGCTGAATACTCAAGGATATAAATAATTACATGTATTTTGGTAAAATTTAAACTAGGAAATGAATACCACGGTACATGTACAAGTTACCAACAATCACTTAGTTCAGTTCACCATATTATAAATTCAACGAAGAGCAATTGATATGAACTACAACATTAAAAGATTCAATGGGTTTGCTTACAAAATGAAATGCAATAAAATCGGTATGCAATGTTAATAACTGACACTATATAAACATTGAAATTCACATGCAATCTAGATTCCGGTGTATAATTACACAATGAAATAGAATCATAGTACTTTGTAAGAAACCGAATCATGCAGCCAAGAATATGACATGAGACCAAGTGTGTGACGATTTAATTGTGAGTATTCATTAGAGGTAGTGAATTGATTTGATCCGATTAACGTTACAGTATTCATATCGGAAACTAAACCTAAAGTTCTATGTACCAGCAGACATCAGATTTCCGAACTCACAATTTAATGAAACTAACAGGCATGAGCTCATAACAGTTAGAGCTTATAAACGATTAGACAACATCATAGTAACCAGTTAGAACCTTCTGATGTTTATTCGATTATGAATTTTAGCAAGTGTCAATTAACTAACATAATAAAACAAACCAAACGAGGTGTAGTTCCATGTAGTCTCAATTTACCTGTTCAGTCGACTTAATTATAAATTCAGTTCAGATAACCTTTCTTTAATTTATGCATTCAGTTCCAATAAAATGTTAAAAATCTAAATTGATAAATTCAAGCAATCGCCACATGAAATCCGTCACTACAATCAGAGACAATAAATTATATACAAGTCCAAAAGTGGTCAAAATCAGACAAAGCCATCTAATACGCGTGAATTAAAGCAACAAACATCACTCACGTGAAGGACAGGGAGGTAGGAGTAACGTATCCTCCCCCACACATCACCACTTTGTTTTACAGCTTCTTTCTCAAGAATGACGTCTAGTGTCAATTCACCATTAGAAGATTTGTAAGGGACAGCAGACCCACATGTCTAAACCTTAATTACTTCCAACTCTACTTTCTAAGGGTATTAACTGGATCTACTTTGATAAGTGATCTATCCCTACATAAGTTGGTCTACATACAGTTTTCAGGTCAAACAATAAGTCTTCTTAATGCTGGCTACCAACATCAATTATCACGGTCATATCACAGCTACACTACTCAGTTATGGAATCTGACATGATTAGTGAAAAGAATAATTGTTTCTACTATCCAGCAAAGTAATATCATTACAACACACAAGAAAAGTCATAAATCAGGAAAACAAGTGTATATAGCAGCAATCATTATTTAAAGATGATTTATTATCATTCACAGCTTAGAATATCACAAAAATAATCACATCAAGTATAGATATATAAACCTTCCTTATAATCCATAATAAACAGAATTTATAAATAGCCATTAATTCAAGTAGCAATTCACTATTTCACACATAGTGCTCAGGCACAAGTATACCCTGTGATAACCATGATTGTGCACACACAACTTGCGCGACGGTGAGTTGATCAGGCTCACCACCTAGCAAGGGAGTTGGCACAGCCATGCTTAATACAGTGTACTACCAGTATCATCACACCTCCAAATATATAGTAACTTTAACCAGTAACACATTCACAGCTAAGTTCAAACAGCAACAATGCAACGAACATATACAAATAATCAGTATAACCAGGCAACAACAATTCAGCAACCACATAAAAACAACAAATATTTCATCAAATACAGACACCTTGAATCAAAACTGCTCTGATACCAATTAGTGTGACACCCTCCCTTGCAGGCATCCAACAGAGTTGTTTGCTAAGAGGAATTAAAGTTTTCGACATCATTTTAACAACTGAAAAATCATTTTGATGTCGCTAATTAAAACTTATAATTGAAATTGGGTTACTTACAAAAATCAGAGTATACTTTCAAAATCTCTTAACTTGCTGAAAATATTATTTTCCTGACGGACGTTGCTGTCTTGAAAATTTCGTATAAAATCAAGTTCAACGATTCAAAAAAATGTTCCATATAATATAGAAAGAGCACGTCTGGGGCTTCGCGTGCATATAAAATAATAGTAAATCGGAGGTCGTTTGCCCCTCGCAACTTAACTCGCAAAGTGCTCGCAAAACTGTTTAAAAATCAGCACTTAATGAATGTTCAGAAAAATGTAATTCGCAAAACGTTTTCAAAATTTTACTCAAAGCACTAACTGATCATAAAGTCTTAAGACAGCAGTAAAATCATAGTTCAACAGTTAATCCAAACTTCTCAAAATATTACAGTCATCCATCAAATAAAACAGCAACAGCTGCAAGTCCAAACAGCAGAATTTAACAGCAAAAATCCAAATAATCCATGTCCTCATATGCTTTTGCGTCCTCCTGCCATTTTATAAAAATAGCAGCCCCAGAGGGGTGAGAAAAATCTCAATAGTGTGATAGCAAAACCACTAATGCAACAATATTAAACTAGGCACAAAATTATAAACAATCACATCAACATTTTATTTCTCGTTAACATATCATAGTGCGTATATAACGCCATCATTATGCTCATAACACCTTCGTGCGCATACTAACATATCATTAATGTGTATATAACGCCATCATTACGCTCATAGCACCATCGTGCGCATACATACACAGTGGATATTCCATAATGGCTCCCTCAAAGGTGAATTCCAACTGTGACCTATGCGGACGGAAGCCAAGTGTCCCATACCCTGGTACCGAAGGGATGCCTATATGATGCGTGCTCAATCGTATGCATATTTATATAAATATTCTAATCCATGAACAGCATGCAATTCGTGCATGTATGCCATGATATGCTTCACACACAACAAGAAACAAATGAATTATGAGGTGTATATGCATGACTGGATCATCATCATAATAGCATATCTTTCATGTACTTTTCGTACCAAGCTGCCACATAACAGTTACTTCTCATTCATGATTTTCTATCTTGTCACATTCATAGGCCGGATATATATATATAGCATATAACAACACATTAATCCAAGGCACATGTGAGCAACAATTCACAATTCTATACACTAGCTAATAGTCACATTAGGTAATACCACCAAACACTCACCTCGAGTCTTTAACCTTTTTAATTACACATCACCAATCAGCCCCCTTTGATTAGAGGTCTTTGCACCTAGTTCATCAAACATGAAATCAGAATTTTGTTTTATTATTCTTATATGTCGAATATAATTTCCATGCTGCCAATCCTAAGATCTTAGCTTAATTTCGTGGTCCTCTTCTTAATGATTATCTGACTTGATATTAAATTTTCTTACATTATCAATTGATAAAATTCATGATTTCAACAGCAGGCAGAATCGGTTTTTGGCCCTTAACAATATGCATCTAATTCTGATTTATAATTAATACACCAAGTTATGAACAGCGAAAAAAACTAAGCTCCTTAATACATTCAGGTTCGGTTTGGGCAGTTACTGGGTGTTCCTAATTAAATTAATTTCATAACCATTCACCCCATGACTAAGATGCGCTAAAAATAAAACTTAAAAGCATGTTGTGTTGCTTAAATTTTCGCATGCAAGGCTGGATGCCTCAGCCTATCCTCCCAAAACAGTTTAACAAAATCAAAACAGCTTAACATAATCAAAGGGAGTTATTTTCTACTCACCAATCGGATTTTTTTAAACTTGCATGCACTAGGTTCAGAAACTATCCAAATGAGCAGAATAGAAGAATACCTATGACAAAAGAAATACTATCTCCCAAGTCTACATATACATACCGTACAGTGGGGAAAAGAAGCTTGATCTTCGGTCTTTAACTCCTCGTGTGGAGACAACTAGCAGACCAGAAAGATAACGGCAACTCCACTCTCCTAATATTCCAATAGCTTGAACTTACGCTGCATGCAAGTGGGGAAGGTTCGGTCAGGGACAATTCACATAGAGATGGACAAGGAGATAAAGGAACACCTCACCTCCTTGAATGGTGATGAACGACTGGACAAGAGGGGAGAAATGGAGGATGGCTCAAGTTGAAATCTCTTGACTCTGTGATACACAGCCGAACGAGTAGAAGGGAAAAGAGGAGTATAATTAAGTGTTTAGTTTTTCATCCTGATGGTCACGATTTGTGTGATACATAAGTGGTTGATTTCAGTACTGGAAGGAAAATGATAGATTGGTTTTGTTACTCTCCAAAGCGCATAGGAAGGGAACGAAGGAGATTTCAGCTTTCTTTGTCTTTCCTATACAAGGATAAGCGAATTCCTTGGTCAACAAAAAGGTATGGCCGAACATTGAAAGTGAATCAAAGGGTCCCATGAGTGTGTAGATGGCTCACAAGCAAGGAAATGGACAGCTAGGTGGCGCACATGCAAGAGGTTTGTGATATTAGTTGCCATGTGTAGATCCTAAACCAATCATGGACCGCCTTGAAGGATCCTTAGGATAAGGTTAAGATGGATGAGTGTTTTGGGCTGAAGCTAAGTCCCAAAAAATGGCTTATGGGCCGTCAACTTTGGGGAATTAGGGTCCAAAAATTATAAGTCCAATTGTTCTCCTATCTTAAGAATTAACCCTTGCCTTATTAATTTATATGCCCTCTACTTATTTGCTAAAGGGTTTGTTCTTTGAAATAAATTTAATCACATGCTATTAATGAGTACTCATATAATCCTAAGTAGTGTTATGCTTTCTATGTATTATAACTAAATTATTCTTATATTCATGACTAGAATTTCACATGCATAAAATAGATACTCACCTTCCATGGTAATACCAATAATTCCCTAATTTAATTTAACTTCGTCCTAAAGCAAACATTATATATAGAATCCGAAGGCAAGTATTCTACTACATTCCTAATTGAAATTTAAATAGATTGCTAATTAGACGGGATGTTACACTTTAATTGAATATTTATGTTTTACAATTTTTTAGTCCATGATAGATATTAGATATTCATATTGTTATTTGTTAGTAAATTATATAATTTCTTTTTGGAAAAGTTTTAGATTTAATAGAGACTAAAGGAAGGGAATGTTCCCTGAGTGTGAGAGATAGGGATGAAAGGGACACATGTCCCTGCTGAGTCATTCAAATATACACAGCTGTTATCAAATCTGCACTCATTGCAGATTTTGAAAATGTGCCCTGCAAAAGCAACTGTCCCCTCAGACAGTAATGTAACTGTTCCCCTTCCCTTTCCCTCTCTCCCACGATTCTACCCTAAATCGTTCCACCTCTTCAAACCATCATCAGCAGTTGAATACCACTAACCGCTTACCACTCGTTTCGTAACGTTCCCCCTCCACTACTTCTTCAACTTCCTTTCTTTAACCTCCACGTCCTGAAAAACTCCTCACTTTCCCCTCTCTGCATGCTTATTTAAACTCCTCACTTCTCTTTCTCAAGCTTTACCATTTCCTTGCTAACTTAGAACCTTTTGCTCTTCCTCACTCTTCTATGCATTTTGCCCTAACCTCTCCTTCGTCTATAACCATGACCAGACTCTCAGTAGCCGCCACCCCTGTGGCTAGCTATGCCCAGGAGCCTGAAATCATCGAAGAAAATGTGTCTCTTTACCCAGAAAGGAACATTTTCCTAAAAGACAAAGCCCTCATGCCCTCCTTTGTGCAGAAAGCCCTAACCAAACTGAAATGGACCTGGTTTGCCACAGACGCACGAGAGTTCTACCCTTCTTTGGTGGCTGAATTCTTATACCATGCAAAGAGACTGCCCCAAGGGTACAAAGTCGATGAAGTAATGGTGAGAGGGAAGAAATTCTCATTCTCCGCTAAAGCCATCAAAGAGGTACTCCACCTCCGAGTTGTAACCAACTGTCCATACACTGAGTATATAGAGAAGAGAGAAAACCCTGAGTTCTTGCTGGAAGTGAAGAACTTAATCACCATTGGTGAACCTGTCTATATGCCAAGGGAGCTCTTTCCAAGGGCAGTATGAGGGATGAAGCCAGATTTTGGGCTTTGTTTGCCAACACCAACCTCACCCCCTCAACCCACGATGCCACTGCCAAGTGGGCATTGTAGGTGCAAATATACTACATCATGAAGAATATCCCCATTGATGCAGTACCCCTCATTCATGGCAGCCTGAAGAAGGAGATCAGGAAAACCACTGTCTGCCTTCCCTGCCTGATTACAAAGCTATGTCTGAGAGCTAGTGTAACCACTTCAGAAGATGAAGACCTAGTGGTAGGGTCTGTCATCGATTTCAAAACATGGAATGGCTTGAGGAGAACCTACATTGAGTTAGACATTCCATACCTTAGAGACAACAACATCAGACGTGATGTTGATGAGGTTGACGATGAAGTAGAGGGCCCTGAGGCCCAAAAGAAGAAAACCATGAAGGCAGCACCTTCAAAATCTGCAACCACTTCCTCATCCACCAGGGCTACAAAATTCGTTCCCCCATCCACCAAGGTAAAGAAAGAAGCCCCTGCTGCTACTGAGAGTAAGCAGGGCAAGAAACCTTGTTGGGTGGTTTTTTGTTGGTGGAAAAATATATATTCTGATGGAGGACGTTCCTCTATTCTAAATTAGCAAGAGAAAACAGATTTATTCCCTTACTTCTAACCCAAATGCGCAAGTGCAAGCATCAAGTAATAATGGGTTTATTAATGCCCAGATTATCATTCCCACGAGGATAGAACTCTAAATAATGCCCTAAACTATTTTATAAAGAATGAAAATGAGAAGATAAGTTAGTGATTGAACTATCTGGTCAAACGTTCCCTACTGTCTTGACAACGTTCCTCAAGATCAGTAAGTTCAGTCTGATGGCAAAAAACTCCTCGCGTCGTTATATATGTGATCCTTCTTGATGAGAGAAGGCACGACAATAGTCATTGGAGATTGATAGATACAAGACTGAATAGATTAAAAATAACATAGTAATAACTATAATCAAGAGACAACAAGTGGATGGTTTTAAAACAGTTTTAACATAAAGAACGGATTCACTGCTCCATTCTTAAATAGTTATTTTCTCTACTCAAGACTTAGCACTTTTTGGCTTTGTCCCAGTTTCTTAACTGCCAACTCTGATTCCTCAGCTCATGGACTAGATGGCTCACAAGTTTCCATATTCCTATGGCTCCCTTAACTCCAACAGGTACTTGGTACAGAACCTTAAAATGGACGAAGTGGCCCCTTTTTCCTAAGGTAGCCAATAGTGTTGTTGCCAAAACACTACCTTCCCCCACTGGCTAAGCTGTCTGAAATCCCTTCCTTAAGGAAGTTTCTTTCTCAGTATGTGTTCAATTTCCATTGATACACAATGAATATAACTTACTTAGCCAGAGAAATACAAAAAACTTCAGTACAAGAGTTTTGAAAATAATTCTTTAAGAAATTTGCAGCTTATCCGTTCCATGGATAGTTTAGCCCATGGCTGTTACTTTAAACATAATTATTCTAAATTGAAGTCCCATAGACCCGTGATTCAGTTCAGAGATAACGAGTCGAAACGAAAGAAGGAATACTTATATTGAAATGAAACAAGAAAGATTACAACAAAATATAAAGTGGAGAAGATGGTTGATGCTCGTGAGGAGTCTCAAGTGAATTTTACAGAATAAATGAGAAGTGTTGTCACTTACTATAGCTACAACTATACAAAATTAAACTACAAATTAACTAAATAATACTAAGTGATCTCTTCTTAAGGAATTCGATGATGTCTTCGTGTTTGGGTCGTCCTATTTATAGGCAGAAGGGTGAGTGGCAATCTTGTAAAATCCCTTGGAGTTGGTCTCTTGACTGTATGGGCGGGGCAGTGGGAACAATGTTTGGAGGCTTGCAACTTGCTAGATGGGACAGTTATTGTTGAGATTTGCCATTTCTTGCAATCCCCCATGCCTTGCTTTCTTCTCAGCCAATGAGAACTCTTTATTCCTTACTGTACATGTTTCTTCGTGCTTAATTGATGCACCGCCTCTGCTTTATGGAAACTTCGTTTCAACGTTTCCTGTAAAGTGATCAGAAGCATTAAAAGAGTGGAGCAGGTGCAATAAATGCTCTCAATCTGTTCTCCTTTTAATATGTTTTCCAAAGGATTACGTCATCATCTGTTCCCCCACTGTGTTTTTGTCATAAAGATGTAAAACAAGTGATTTTCATGCTGAAGTTGCTCATCAGATGAGGGAACGGATGGTATTTTGCCATCAAAATGGGCTTAGATGGGAACAAATTTACGTCCCATCAAACCTCCTCCTAAATCTCCTGCCAAAGCACCCCCAGAAAGGGGGAACGATCTAGTCAGAGGCTGAAGAGATCCTTCAGCAGCATCAAAAGACCAGAGGGAGCCACCTCTGAGAAGCCTATCACCCTCTCTGACAAGGAGGAGGACAATGAAGACAATAAGCCTATTTCAAAGAGGCTGAAGAAGGGAGGAGCATCAAGACCTCAACCAGCTACTAAGGAGACATTCCCAATTAGCTCTGAAACATCTGAATTCTCTGACGTTCCATCCCCCCAGCATCACCTTCTCATTCTTCACCACCACCACAACCACATCAACCCTCTCCTAGGCAACAACAAGGAGAGGGGATTAAAGAAACAGAAGCAGCATCTGTTGTGAAAAAACAAGTGGCTGAGTAAGAGGCTCAACCACAGAAAAGAATTGACAAAGGAAAGGGGATTGATGTCGATCACCCTAAAAAGAAAAAGCCAACTGTTCCCAGAAAAATCAGACTGGGAAGGCCACTATCTTCTGCCTACATCTGTCCTGATACTTCTGGGGATGAGGCCCTGGCTAGGGCTCTGGCAGAAGAAGAAGGACTAGAAGTTCCTCCACTGATGGAGGAACAGATTACAATAGTCCTGTCTACCTAAAAAACAGAGGTAGAGATCAGGCAGGCACTGTTGCAGAACCTCCAGCTTCTGATAATAACAACAAGAAGAAGCCAGTCTCTCCCATTCCAGCAATTCCCCTTGCTGTAAGGAGAAAATCCCAAATAGGGATTGCTGAATTTTTTGAAATGATGGGGAGAAAGATGGAGAAGCTACTGCCTGAAGAACCAGTTGTTCCTCAGATTGATATGTCCAACACCACCGAAGAGCTGAAGGCTCTGAGGAACGGATTGGAACAACTCTTATCTTCCTTCACCCAATTTCAGGAACAACATAAGGCAGATAGAGAGCAGCTCCTCAACATTATCCAAACCAGCATCAAAAGTGTCAGTGCTGCACCCTCTGCTCCAACATTACAAGCTGTCA